AAGAGATAATTGAGACATATTCTATCCTACAATGTCTATGTACAAATATGAAAAGCAAAGATAATTCTGTAAGGTAACAACATCTGGCAGGGAGATTAAAAAAATCAAGAGGGCAATCAGTGTTTCTTGACTAAACTCCTGCCTCTATTTTAAAAGGAAAAAGGGTGTGGCTTTGATCATGGGGATGAGGCTGTCATCTTGACTTTTTTGGACCCCCTCCCCTCCCCCCCCCATATACAACCCTGCTATAGACCGTCTTTGCAGTTTAGTTGCTCCCACTTCTTTGTTATCTGAATGACATTATTTTGTCAGGAATATCTGACACTAACTTCGCTTCCGAATTTTTGTAAGCTCATGATTGTGTTTATTAGAAAAAATAGCTATTCTGTCCTCTCAATTCCTCATTGAGTTCCCAATTACACTCAAATTCATACATGTAGAGCTACATTAATATGGCTAACATGTTTTAGATTTACACTGAACACGCATTAGAGAGCCAGCTTTGAAGTTGGGGAAGAGAACGTAGGAAGTCTTCTTTTCAAATATCTTAAACTATGCAACTAGGCTATATTTTAATACGCAGTGTCACAGAAATAACAATTTCCAAATATTCATTGTCCAACAGCTGCTCAAATTAACTAGACACAAGAAGAAAAACAACCAGTATTTATTTTGTTTGCAAACAATAACATTTGATCAAATGTGGTGCATCACAAGCAATCCGGGTACATGAAAAAATCTAATGCAAAGTAACCTAAATTCATATGCCAAAGAATAAACAAGTACTGTACAATTCTATCATTATGAGAAGTAATAGTTTTTACTACTGATCTTTAGGTTTCAAGGTTCCCCAAACTGCTATGAATTTACCTTTATATTTTCCAGAACTTATTTAATATTTTCCTATTAATGCCAATGCCATCTCTAACAACAGCAAGTCAGCAAAATTGGTGTTTATGTATACAGGGGTAGAAATATTAGAGTTTGCTTTTGCTAATCTCATTTAGTTTTCTTAAATGTGAGACATTGGGATGTTATCCCAAGAAATTATTTCAGAACAGCACTGTTACTCTTTAAAAAAAAAAATCCATATACATTTATAGCTTCCTTACATATGGTTACATATATAGGTGGTTGGCTATTCTCAAAGACCTAGCTACACAAGATAGCTGCAGAGTTGGCAGTTTTTGGAGGTTGTGATTAGTATTTGGCTGCAGTTCCCTATTTTGTTTTATTTCTTTGCCATTGATGGGACTTGGCTTTCTCAAAAAAGGAAGTTTGAATTGCAATGAGTATAATGTTAATTCTCCATGGAGAACTTCAGGAATGCTGAGGAAGCATTTTATCCACATGAGGCCAGAACACAGGAGAGACATAGGAATAGTACCAAAATGTTTACTTAGTTGTATTTAAAGACAGTAAATCCCCTCCCTGATTACTGTAGATCAGTGGTTCCCAAAGTGGGTGGTACTGCCCCCTGGGGGGGCGGTGGGATGCCCTAGGGGGGTGCTAAGAGGCAAGGGGGCCGGCAGGGGGGCGCTAAGAAGTGGTAGGGGGGCACTGGGGGTGGGCCCCTTACAGGGCAAAATTCAGGGGTGAGAAAAAATCCCCCTGCCGAGGCCCCGCTGGATCACCCCACTGACTTGCACACTCCGGTGCAAGGGGCTCAATGGGGTGAACCTGCGGAGCCTTACCCTGAACACAGCGTTGGGAAAGGAGGGCAAACCAGAGTGGCTTTGCTCTCCTTTTCAAACATCCTGCCGATGCGGCATTCTGGGCGAGGCCCCGCTGGATCACCCCATTGACTTGCACACTCTGGTGCAAGGGGCTCAGTGGAGTGATCCTGCAGAGCCTTGCTCCGAACTCAGCGTTGGGAAAGGAGAGCAAACCAGAGTGGCTTTGCTCTCTTTTTCAAACATCCCGCTGCTGCCGCGTTCAGGGTGAGGCCCCACTGGATCACCCCATTGAGCCCCTTCCACCGGAGGCACCTGCCCAAGCAAGTCCGAAGGGAGCAGTACATGAAGACAATGGGGTGAGCCTGAGAGAGGGAAAGAGAGAGAGAGAGAAAGAGAGAAGGAAGAAGAGAAAGAGAAAAGGGACAGAAACAAAAAGAATCACAAAAGCTCCTGGGCTGTGCACAAGAAGGGACACACATGTCAATGCAATTCGGCAACATAAAATAAAGAGATACAAATAAAACAAACCATAAGAATTGGCAAAGCATCTCTGATTAGATTCTATTCACTACTAGAATTTAATCAGAGATGCTTTGCCGATTCTAGTCCAATGACCAGCTCCAGCAGGGTTAGAAGGGAGTGTGTGTGTGTGTGTGTGCATGGCTGTCAAAACTACAAAAACAGGTCAAGTAGTTCTAGGGAGGCCAGTCATAAATTAGAACACTTGCTAAGCAGCTGGCCATTAAGTGAGGACCACTTGTATTTGGTTTAACAGTCACCAAACCACCCCCACCCAGTCATGTGACCAGTAAGCCACACCCACCCAGCCACATGACTAGCAAACCACGCCCACCCAGTCACATGACCAGCAAACTACACCCTCAGATTAAGCCATGCCCACAAAATTTGAATCCCACCCCTGGGTGGGGGGCATTGAGGATGAGTTTGTAGCACCAAGGGGGCGGTGGAATGAAAAAGTTTAGGAACCACTGCTGTAGATTATTCCTGATCTTATTCAACTGATCATATGAATACAGCTCATCAGTCTAGAACCCACATTACGTATCTGATATTAACATAGTTGAGAAAGTCCAGAAATATTTCACAAGAAGAGTTCTCCACTCCTCTGCTCATTGCAGAATACCTTATGCCACCAGACTTGAAATTCTATTATACATTGCAATGTCCCACCTGTCAAAACTTCAGCTTCAACCATAACAATACAAGAGCAAACAATAGATATAAACTTAAGGTTAATCACACCAAACTTGATTGCAGGAAATACGATTTCAGCAACAGAGTGGTCAATGTCTGGAATACTCTACCTGACTCTGTTTTTCCCCCAAACCCCCAAAACTTTAACCTTAGACTGTCTACGATTGACCTCAACCCTTTCCTAAGAGGTCTGTAGGGGGCGTGCATAAGCGCACCAACGTGCCTACCATCCCTGTCCTATTGTTTCTTTTATTTTTTTATTTTTTTTTATATGTATCCCTGTATTCATAACTATGTTTTACTTATACCTATTATCTTGTAAGCAATTGACAAACCAAATAAATAAATAAATCTAAGAATATAGGACTGAAGGCTAAAAATTAATATTAATTATTCTTAAAATGCATTTCGCTAAGTTATATCTTTTGTGGTATGGAGAAAAACAGTATTATTGCAAGGTGAGGCCAAGTATCTTAGTACTCCAAAACTTAGAAAAATTTAACAGTTGTGGTTACAGGACCTATTTAACCATATCTTACATAATAAATTATAAAACTAATTTTCTGAGTTTGCATGTGACATTGAACCAGAAACTAACCATATGGATTGGATTTGCACAACACATTAGGAAAAATATGGTTGGTTAGTCTCTAAGCTCAGTGAGGACTCACAATCTGGACTCAGTTTAAACAGATTAACAGAGTTGGAAGGGATCTTGTAGGTCTAGTCCAACCCCCTACCTTTTCAGATCTGCTTTTGAAAAAAAATATCATTTTTTGGATAGTTTTCAGATCTGCAGTTATGTTAAACATACTCAAGCAGGGTTTAAATCAGGTTCCTAGTTCAAAAGATAGCAGTGCCGGGCTGACCTTGTTAGACATTAAGCATCATAGGTTTGAATTTAGTTCACACTCACTCCAGTTATTTTAAACATACTCAATCAGGTTCATAGTTCAAAAGAAAGCAGCTGATTGTGACAGACACTAAGCTGGGTAGGTTTGAGTTAATATGTGGTGGGGAAAGTATCAGAGAAAAATAGGGTCATAGGTTACACTGGGCAGTTTAAAAGATATTCTGAAAGAAAGCAGAGACCACTTCTATATTTTTGCAAATAAACATGTTCATGAAATCAAGGAAAGCTGACCTCAACTTTTACACCAATACGTTCTTGCTATGGAGTGAAGAACTGTACATATTTTCTCAGATATAAATTCCAACAAACTTAATTGTCCCATTTGATCAGTCTTCAAATTCTTGTTTGAGGCATTGTGCTAAGTCATTATTAACAAAATCCAATTTAACTATGATTAACAGACTCCATTCCCAAATACTGGATTCACATAAAATGATGAGTCAGGCAGTAACTGTTTTGAATCATGGGTAACACTTGGGGTTTTGAAAGTACATGGGGGGGCATATTCATAATATAATTGCAATATATTGACTTGTTTATTCACAAGATAGCTGCCACAGACAGTCCCAAATGCTCCAACTGGCCTCCAGGTTTTTTCTATCATCACAGAGGAATCTCTATAGATTTAAAAATATTTTTATAAATAAATAGCCTAGAGGCTGGTACTTCGTTTTACAACCAACTGATTTGTAATGTAATAGTTATTTGAAAAAAAAAAAGAGGGATCAGACAGAGAACTTTTAGTTGGCACCAAACAGCAATGCCTATCCTTTATCAAACTGTGGTTTATAAATCACTAATTGGAATCACATCTCAAACTACAATATGCTGAAGCAAGCATGCTATATTTAATTTAGTGCTGTTTAAACTTAACAAGATTAAGATGTGTGGACTTCAAGTCCCAGAATTCATTACCCAGCATGCTAATTGGAGAACTCTGGGAGTTGAAGTCCACACATCTTTAGTTGCCAATTTTGAAAGACACCGATCTAAAGCGACGTGTTACTGTATACAGTACGTGTAATTTCGCTTACTCAAAGGGAAACCTCACCGATTTCGATAACAATTGCCCGCGTCAGGGATTACTGCAGCCTAACAGCCGCGACCACTAGATGCTGCGCCAAAAACATTCTTCGCTCCATTTTTACGCCGGCGCGAGAACGCGATAAAAGCAGATTGTCCCCTAGTGGGCGCCATACCAGGCTGAAAGGCGAATGGCAATGGCGCTGAGCTCGGAGCCCTTGTCGGATCGCTCGGTCAAGCTAGCGGTGTTACTAGCCTTCGCTTCGGGAGTGGTGGTGGGATGGCAGGCGAACAGAGCGCGGAGGTATTACCTCAAGTGGCGGAAGCGACGGCTGCAGGACCAACTTGCAGCCACTCAGAATAAGTTGGAACTCGCATGAAGCGGTGAGAAAGCCGCCGCAGTAGCCCAAGAATGGTGACCGGGAGGGGGTCACGTTGACTGGCACCGGTCTTTTATGCCAACCCGAAGCTGGGGCAATTAAACGTTCAAGCGGTGACCCCTGCATTTTAAAGCTGGTATCGAGAGAAATAGGCCAAATAATTTTGCGCTTAATTTTTGCTGTGTTTTACTTTAAAAAAAAAAAAGACCAAATCACGTTATGATCATTTGTATCAAAACACAGGCACAAAGCCTTAATTAATGTTTGAATTTTCCTTGAAGGGTTTTTGTGTTTTAATACTAGTCGCAGATTCTGAGGACACCTTGGCCAATATTATTTTAGGCAGAGAAGACCAATTTCTGTATCATTTTTGCTTATTGAATGCTTCTAGGAGACTTTTGGGAAGGTAGAATAGTTACCACAAACTATTCATTTTGCAATAATTTAACAGTCTGGAAATACATGTTATTTTCAAAAGTGGTTGAAATTACTTTGGGGTTATCTTTTCGACCTTGTTTACTGGATTACAATCATACAGTTTTTTTCAGAGCAGCTGAACTTATTGCAGGCCTATTTTTAATTTACTTATTTTTTGTTAGTTTTTTATTAAAAATATGCTGATTTTTAAATTTAGGGATTTCTCAGTTTAAATACTTTACCATATATATAGACATTTTATCAGGGTTGCTGCAACATTGTTTTTATTTTTATTTTAAAAATTTTACATTGTGTAAGCCACCTTGAGTCGCCATGGGCGAATAGGCGGCAATATAAATCAAATTTCAGTTGACAGTTGTACTTATTGGTTCATGGGTCTGTGTCCGATTTCTTTAATGCTGTTCTCAAATACTAAAATTATATCCTTTACTATATATTTTAACTTGTATTTTGTTTTATATTTTGAGAAAACTTTAAAGGTTATATGGAACTGAATTTCATTTTTTTTCACCTATCAATAGCTGAATGCAAATAGAACCCTCAAAAAGAACTACAATCAAGTTTCCATATTTGATGGATATTAATGGACTTCTTTAAAAAATCTTCATGCATAAACTTGGTTTGGAGACATCTATGAAATTGCCATCTCATTTCATGGGACTGGTATTTACAAAAAAGTTTGACATCTGAAGAAATAAGTCATCTGTCTGATGAAACGTGTCTATATGAACAGCGTAACATTCCCTACTTGGACAAATAAGGATGTTTTATGAATTGGATCTTCTTAACAAAGTTTAAATAGAAAATAAACAAGTGCAATGCAATATATTCTGTGTTAGTTTTTTTAAAAAAGTTCTTTATTTTGGCTGTGAAAATGAAGATAACCATGCTTATTTTATATCCTAATATGTAATGACCAACTTATAAACATTAAAGGTTAGTCCTAAATTTACTGGCCTGATTCACAAAACATGCTAAACCTTAATGTGGTTTGTTTTGTTTGGGCTTACAATATATCAAGGTACATTTAGCTTATTTAATAAATCATATTTAAGCCTAGAGCAATGTGTAAACTAAAACCTATATTGAATGTGATTTTAAATCTGAACTATTTATTTTGGTTTGATATTTTGTAAGAAACAATCTGCCTAATCAACTGTATAAAGAAACAAATGACTAGAAATGGTATTTATGAATGGGGGTTGAGATGCAGTCACGATGAATTCTTTGACTGATTTTCTAGTGCAGCCATGAGAGTCAATGTACCAATTAACTCTTACTGAAATGTTTCTTATTAATGGTATTTTTTTTAAATAAGGTAAAAATCCAACCCAATTGAATGAGTACAAGCAAAAAGATAATCTCTTTATATATTGTTTAGTGAATCATTTGTGCCCAAGGTTGAAACAATGATAGTTAATTTTTATTGTTCATTTTATCAAGATTATATATAGTAGTTAAAACTTTCTTTTTAATTTCAATTTATTGTTGGGTACCTTGAGCTTTCAAGTAAAAAGCTGGGGTATACATTTATCGGATATGTAATTGCTGTTTATCCTGCCCAAGTGTCTCATAGACGACCTGGGTTTTGAATTAATGCTGGGTTAGAATTCCAGAGAATCAGGTTCAAGTTTACTCTAGAATAGATTCTAGGAGACTTGGGGAATAAAATTGGAGGAGGGAGGATTATATAGGCTGATGTACCAGGCATATATTTAACAAAACCGACCGTAAACTCCCATTTTCATATTTCCCATATTCTCGGCGTCATCGGAGGGGGCTGTAAGAATTCTTAAAATCATCGAATTATGATAAATTATTTTATCGCCTATTTTATCGCCTATTCCTTTTGTTACTGGAGCAAATCTAAATTGGGAATTCCCACTCAGCTGTTCCCTTTATTCCACTCCTTCGGCTTTGCTACCTGCGGAGACGCGTAAAGCTGTTAGCGCGATTCTCTCCTATATCATGCTTTGGGTCTTTGGAACGCCGATCGATGACGTTTTAGTTAAGCGCCGCAACATTGGTCTCCTTAGCGACAGTGGTGGCTGCTCTCTGCTCAAAGCAACTTTGGCAATGTCTACACAAATGACCGGCCGTCGGAGCCGAAGGGGCCCACTGCAGAGCGCTTTGCGTCGGGGCCGAGAGCTCCGGGAACAGGTAAAGTATCTTTTGGCGCTTTCTTCTTCAGAGAGAGAGCCAGCTGGGGTTGCAAAGAACAAATTTCCAATGCTACTCAACTGTTGTGACCCTTGCCTGAAAAAAAATCCCCCCCAAACCTCAGTAAGTGGAGTTCACGTATGATCTTGTTTCAGTACAAACCTGACGTGGCTCCCCAAATGTGATGCCTCCGTTTTCATTGTTGAATTATGTGAACCCGTACAGACTAGTCTGAAGTTTATGGCTTAAGTATTTAGAAGATGCGCGTGCATCTTAAAGTGGGGGGGGGGGAGATGTATATGCACGCCCCAGCGAGTAAGAATCCAAAATGTTACAGTCTCGATTGAACGATTAGATTGTAATCCTACTCTTATTATAGAATAACACAGTTGCAAATAAGCATTTTAGTAAGAGTTATTTGGTAAAATAAAGTTGTTAGAGACAAGCAATTCTCCCAATGACATTCTCAACAAAACTGTCAGCAACAGTGAGAAAGCTAATCTAATAGATGAAATAAATTTTATATTGAACTTGTGTTCAATAGGGAAAATTGAATAAATGATAACACACACATTTCATATTTCTAAACTGCCCCCTCAAAAAGGCGCTCTATACTTTATATATGCCAGAAAACTAGAGCAAGTAGATTAATCTATAAGCCTTAGTAGAATGTTCACAAAATAAAGAAAAATGGAGAAATGTTAAGATATGCAAATACTGACAGTCTTTGGCCTGGAATGAATCTTTGCAAAAAAGAAGCTAATAGGATTATGTCTATCTTTTATTTTAAAAATATACAGTACTGAATTTGTGTTTACAAAATGAAACATAGTGAACACAGAAAGTAAAGGTTCCAATGTTCTTAAATGATTAAGAAAATGAGACTTGATGGTTGAGCAAAATAGGCTTGATGGTTTACAAGGATCAAAAGGTATGGCTGATGGACATTAGATTTACATATTATTACATTTTTGTTTATTATTTTATTATTTGTTAAATTTATATCGTGCATTTTGCAGTTCAAGGCAACTCTGAGCTATACTTTATATTTTATACTCCTTTTCTGAGTGCAGACAATGTGATAAATATATATGTATGATATATCAGAATAAGCATTTCTCTATATTGTATTTCTTACACATATATAGACATCCTAGTTAACTTTAACTTAGTGCAACAGTTAAATCTCACATAAAGTAGAACAAGTGGTCCAGACTGATTAAAGTAGTAAGGTCCTACAGAGCGCACTATAATAAAATTTACATGTACACAGAACTTAATGGGATTTAGATGTATGTATAGTATAGATTTGTAAACTTAGTGAATTTCCCTACTTTGAAGTTACTTGTTTGTAATAAAAGGGGAAGTTGAGTGTAATTGGACTGGTGAATATTATTAATATTGGGCGGATAATGTGTATATGTGTGAATATTAGAGAATATGGGAAACTTGTTTTGGAGTCTTGTTATTTATCCATATATACAATATAGATACAAGTCTTAAATATATGAGGCTGTGTGACTGCTTTTATTCAACAAATTATGTCTTAATTATAAAATATTTCAGGTGGAAACTTTGCTTCAAGAAAGCAAAACAGTGAAGGCTCTGGATTCTGAAAAAAAGAAAAGCCTTAATGAGAGGTACAGTAATCTTTTGATAGAAGCAAATGTAACATTTTAGCACTTAAAATGTAAAGAAATTAAACAGGTGATTTAAAAATAGTTGAAACTAAAACTTTATTTAGAAGAAAACTGATAAAAAATAAGACTTATTTCTATGAGTATTTTATTTCAAAGATGAGAGGTGATGCAATATTATTTGTCTAGTCTCCTCATTACAGCACACAATCAAATAAAATAACAAATTGAAGAAGAATATTCATGAATATAAATATTTGGAACTGTTCTTTAGTGGAGTATCAGTGGAGTAATGTGGAGCATTTAATGTAATGATTTTTCACATTCAAATGCATTATATTTAGCATTCAGTACATACCATTCTTTCTGAGGTGAGTTGGTCCACTTTAACTGCTATATTTTATCATGAATTTTTAAAACATTTTATATTGCTTTCACTATGAAAGTAGATTCAAGGCCAATTTACAAAATATTCAGGATTGTTTGTTCATGAATTTGTATGCTAGTTACTCCAAAGAATTCAGGTGGCTTATATTTCAGAATGATAACCGTAAAGTAAATGCTCCAGAGGTGATATTCAGCAGGTTCTGATCAGTTCTGGAGAACCAGTAGTGAAAATTTTGAGTAGTTCAGAGAACCAGCAAATACCACCTCTGACTGGCCCTGCCCCCATCTCTTTTCTGCCTCCCGAGTCCCAGTTGATTGACTGGGTCTTTTGTTGCCCTGCACAGGAAAACTGAGCTGGAAAGCAGGTTAATGGGGTGGGGAGGGAATAGGGATTTTATAGTATCCTTCCCCTGGAGTGGGGAGGGAATGGAGATTTCCTTCTCCTGTCATACCCATTAAGCCACACCCACCAAGCCAAGCCACACTCACCAAGCCACGCCCACAAAATCGGTAGTAAATTTTTTTGAATCCCAACACTGAAATGCCCCCTCCCCCCATACACACTTGTTAGTATTTATCTACAGTACATGTTTCCAGAGGGATATTTTTTATTTAAGAGTGATTTTTTCTATATAAGATCAAAACCAAAGAACTATAGTATTCTTTGCAAAAATGATAGCAGCCAGAATGCACCTAGTGGTTTTGCTTCGCCTTTGATTTCTCTACTTTGGTTAAGTAGATTTTTGTTGCTCTGCAGGAGATCTTGCAGGAGAATGAGAAACTGAAGCATTTAATTATTCTTCAACTAGGTAAATGTAACAGGCTTTAATAGCATTCAGCATCAATATTATTCCTTCTCTAGGGATATGTACATACAATTTTTTTCTGATTATGGCAGTATGCTATTAACATACCTACTCACTTTGGGATCATTAACTTGTTTAAGCACAGTATTTGTAATATTTTAGGGTCAGCATATTTGATGATTGGTAGACAGCATATAAAATGTGGACTTTTTTCTGTTTATAGATGTTTGGAGCTGAAGAAATCTGTGGATGAAAATACCTTAACTCTTCAGAACTTAAAGAAAGTAAATATTTAGGGCTATAGTTGATTGGTTGATTATGTACAACAAATGATTTTTTACTCCCTCTAACCACACATATACTTTCTTCATGGCAATCTACCTCTAACCTGTTCTTCAAGTCTCCCAATAATGCACTCAGTGCCACTGTAACTGAATCTATCCATCTTGGTGCTGGTCATCTTCTCTTTCATTTCATCTTTTTCAGCATTAGAGACTTTTGTAGTGAGCTAGGTCTTCAAATAATGTGTACAAAGTTGGTTAATTTGAGCCTGATTGTGCCTCAAGTGAGAACTGAGTTGATTTGTTCAATTATCTATTTGTTTGATTTTTTTGGCTGTCCAGAGAATTTTAGGTGTCTTCTTCAACACCAAAATTGAAAACGTTCTACCCTTCTTCAAAGTCCAGCTTTTGCTTCTATAAAATATTACAGGGAATACCATGGCTTTCATGATTTTGATCTTTGTAGACATCACAGCATTGAATATCTTTTTGAAAAGAGGCAGAATGCTTGTCCAAAAATAAGAGAGTGAAGATATCGAGATATTGTTTGCTA